ATCCCTGAAAGACAGTCAACCTTGGAAAAGGAAAATTCTGATTATACAAACTCCTGGACCCAACTAGTGGGTCAGGCTGAAGTAAGGGGCAAGGAGTAATTTTAAAGAATAAAAATATCAACGTCAGTGCCAAATGTTGTGCTGGAACATCCGATCTATTTGATAACTTGTCTTTTATAAAATGAAATATTACTGTCCATAAAGATTTAACCAATTAACATGATAAAGGCTTTCATTTGTTAGCAGAATTTGCTGTGTTTAGTAGACAGAGAAAGCTTAAAATAAGTTTGAAGCAATGGGGCTGTAAAGGCTAGTTCACACAAGAAATTTTGAACTGTAATTTTCTTCTTTTGGTGCATGTGTTAGAGTGAATAATCACAACGAGTATATGAGCTAAGCCATGCAAAGTAATATTTCCTGTAATTTTGCTACTGGAAATCACATACTGTATGCCGAAAGGAGAAAATCACAGTTTAAAATCGCTTGTGTGAATGGGCCTTAACATGTATGCAGGTGTGAATTACCCAAGTTCTTTCAAAATATTTAAAATGATCCTCCCTGTCATGGGGAGATAATTGCGGGAAAATGGTTTAATGAAATAATAAAGTTTTCCTCAATGATCAATAACATAATAACAACATGTGCAACAAATATTTACAATCTAGCAGGTTGATACCCAGAGTATATCCCATTTGGAAAGGATATTGTTTCCGTATTGCTGTAACACAACAGCTTGGAATCATTCTCCTGTTCCCACTTCCTTATCTTTTCATGTTGCCAGAGTACATATTGTTTGTAAGCAGCATGGTGAAAATTTTCATTGTTTCTAACATTATTTAACACTAAACAGTCTTCTCGGTCCTGTAATGCATGGCCAGGTCCAGAACGTTTCCATCAAGTACTAACTGTAGGGAACAGAGGGGCTAGGGTCATGCAAGGCTGTATTTTTGGGTACAGCATTTGTTTTCCAATTGTGTTGGCATTGCAACACAGCATCCACATTCGCAACACTCTGGTACATTTTCTGGGTTTTCCTCTGGGTCTGGTTGAAGCGGTGCACCTGGCAGTTCATTATTTACCAAATCAGCAAATGTAGCTGGCTGACGCTGTATAGGGCATTTAGGCTGACACTCATAGGGCATTTAAAATTAAATCCTTTGCTTCCACAAGATTCTGAAATGTAAAGATATTTATCATTAATTAAATGCAAGGACTCAAGCACAGTGAAACACTGATATTTCTTACCACAAATTCCTCTATAGACTTGTATAGACGGGTAAACTTTTTACATAATTTGATATTTTACTCGGCAAGGATATGCATAATTATGCAAGGTATGTAATAAAACAAATCATATGTGTTATAGCTTTCAGAAATATACTCAAATGTATGCCTGTGCATATTCTTGGCAGGCAAAGTATTAAACTATGTAAACAAAGTTTATTAATCTATTGTTAGATGATCATTATCCTTCGTTTAGAGTGAACAGTCACAATGAACAACAGGACATATTCTCAAATGAACATTGCTTAGGCCATTTTTTTGCGTAAACGAAACATGTATAAACTACAATGAGCGAAAATAATATTACATGTACATGTGTGAATCACGTTTATAACGAACAGTATAACGAACAGTGTCAGTACGTAACTAATAGCAATACTAATACAAACTCACCGTCTGGTCACTCTCACGTTCTTGAACCCTTCGATTGTTCATACATGTATCAAAATCCTATTCGTGGCACGCGCTTAATAAGCAAAAACTACCCATACTTTTGCAGGCTCTCTAATCGAAAACAGAAGCCGCGACACGAACATATCGTCTCCACATATCTTCCAGCGAAAAGCTTTATAGTCCGAGTGCTTCTGCCATGACAGCAACAATGACTCTGACAATGAGTTTCGACGAACAAATAACCCAAGGAAAGGTTCATGATTACTTTGACACTTCCAAAGTTTATTTTACAATGCCGAACATTATATTCAGAATACGTACAAAGAGTTGCGAAGTCGCACCTTTTCTGTGTCGCCTGTCGGCCTCTTCTGGATATTTCATTAACGAAGCACACGAAAGAAAAATGCTGAATTCATCAACAATATATCTTCCATTGGTGGTCTGTTAAAATATTTAATTGCTTGTCTTTCAGAAGACAATTTAAAAAATTAACTTCACTCCTGGCCCCTTCATTTATAATTTGTTTAGTGTATAGCCGTTATACTTCATATTATACAATCGAAGTGGATCCAAACGAAAACAAAAGATGTAAACAAAGCCCGCACATGCGCAGAATGGACTGTAACCCAGCTTTAAGTTGTTCAACGTTTGAAACCGCAAGTGATGCAAACGCGGTTAGATAAATTGTCAGCCTGAACTAGACTTATTTTACTCTCTCTGCAAAGATCAGCAAGGCATACGTCGAAGTTTTCCCTTGTACTTCTTTGGAAAAGGTTTATTATTATAGCTGACATAGCTGACGAAGACAAAGTATCGGTATATTACATGTAAACTTTTATCAAATCCCGTTGGAAGTACAGTTAATATTGCTAACCTTCGCTCATCCTTCAACGTTAATTTAAATTGAAAGGTTTCTCAAATACATCCAGGTACTTCTTCGAAGAGATAAACAAAGTCATGGTTTTATACGCCACTGATTGAATGCCAGCTTTAAAATCGCATTGCGAAATGTCGTACGAGTTAAATATTTGCACGATATTAACTCATGTAGCACTTCTGACCAATGGGAATTTTGCGTACGCTCCGTACGCATAAATCGACTTTTTACTAATAAAGGTCGCAGGCTAGACTTGCTCCAAGTCTGCCTCTTGGATGTTCCTAATTAAAGTAACTTGAGTTTTACCTAATTAAAGTAACTTGAGTTTTACTTTAGTTTTACTTGAGTTTTATTAGTAGCAGGCGAGCGGAAAAGGAGCGAAAAAAAGCGGGCGGGAAAATGGCGGGCGGCGCGGGCGAGGAGGGAGGAGGCACTCCCCTCCCTCCTCGCCGCCTCGCCCGCCATTTTCCCGCCCGCTTTTTTTCGCTCCTTTCCCGCGCCGCCCGCTTTTTTTCGCTCCTTTTCGGCTCGCCTGCTACTAATAAAACTCAAGTAAAACTCAAGTTACTTTTATAAATCTAAAGTAAAACTCAAGTTACTTTAATTAGGAACATCCAAGAGGCAGACTTGGAGCAAGTCTATTCGCAGGCCGTTCCTCCCATGCAGCCTCTGCCTGACAACGGCCTGCGAGCAGGCTACCCTTGACATAGATCCTTGACCCATAGAGATTATAAATAACACTAGAGGAGGCATCGA